TCCTGTCGCTAATTTTATCATCCCGGGCCGAGAGGACTGAAGAATGTATATTTACGGCTCCTTTGGGTATATCCAGATTAGTGGCGGTATTAGATGATCGGAGGGAGGCAATAAGAAATGAAGGACTCTCCTTGTTGACCTATTTGACGCCAAGTTCCTCAGAATTGCAGAAACTAGTCGCTTTTGAAAATGCTTTCGATCGCATATTCAACATAATAAAGCTCGAGGGCTCCCTTCAGGATGGTGATAGAATAGTAGAAGACTGCCTGATCCTTCTCGCAAATCTTTTAAGGCTTAACGTTTCTAATCAGTCTTTCTTCCGAGAGACAGGTTGCGTTGCTAAATTATCAAAATTATTGAACGATGCATTGGGTGCCGAAAATGAAGCTGAGGAGGTGGCTGAATGGGCTAAAGTTCAACGGAATAGAAACATATATGCTCTACTTGCAGTTTTACGATTGTTTCTAATTACTGGAGGGGTGGGAACTCAAGCAAATCAGGTGTCTTTTGCGCAGCACGGTATTCTCAATCAAGTGTTGCAATTAGCATTCAGTCGATCCACAGAAGTTCAAATAAAAGCTGAGGTATGCAATCCATGTCCACAAAAAAATGCTTGTATATTGATTCAACGTATAGGCTCTCTCAACCTGTGCGGATATGATTCGAGGTAACGCAGCTCTTCAAGAGAACTTTGCTCAACAACAAGTTACCTCGGTGCTTGATGAGCCTCTAGCTGATAGCAATGGGCAAACACAACACAACGCCATTCCAATGGTTTACGTCATTGATGGCTTACTTGATTTGACATTAAGCGTACCTACATTATCAGCTTTTGATTCGCGTGCTGCTGCTTGTGAATGTATCAAGGCTTATTTTTACAATCACCCAGCCATCCGCAAACATTTCCTCCGCCGAGCAATAGATGGTCATGTTTCTGGGGCCGACGAGACAGCAAATGTATTAACGACACTTCTTCAACCTCTAGGCAGTCATATATCGAGCGATCCATACCGTTACTGGTTTGCATCGGTTCTTCTGTTCCACTTGATATTCGAAGACGCTGAGGCGAAGAGTATGGCGATGGGCGTTGCTGAGGGTGATGCTGAAAATGGAGAGGAAGTAATAACTTGTATACAATCTATCACTGCCAATCTAATTCTTGGCGTTCACAAAGCTGTGGATGAGCGCGTCCTGGTTGCGTATCTCATGCTTCTTTGTGGGTGGCTTTTCGAAGATCCAGATGCTGTGAATGACTTCCTGGGCGAAGGTAGCAACATTCAAAGTCTGATTCAAGCTACTCTGCATACAGGCGGCGACGGCGTGATGGTTCAAGGACTCTGTGCTGCTCTGCTTGGAATTGTCTATGAGTTCTCAACCAAAGATTCCCCAGTACCCCGGGCAACCATCCATCCGATTCTTGGCTCAAAATTAGGAAGAGAACAATACACAGATCGACTTACAAAACTCAGAGCTCACCCGTTACTGCGAGACTTTGAAGTTCTTCCCCAAAAGCTCAGCTCTGCAGCACCAGGAAGCTTACCTGATGTATTTTTTGACAAATCATTCGTGGATTTCATGAAAGACAATTTCAGTCGTTTATTACGTGCAATCGACCGAGACCCTGGGTTTGAAATTGCAATCATTGCGAATGGTGTTCAAAAGGGTATTTCTCGAGAGATGGTAGACAATTTGAGGTCTGAGCTAGACGAGAAGTCCAAGGCTTTGTTAGAGGCGGAGGAAGAATTGGTGGTTCTGGGAGGACAGTTAGGACAGGAGCAGGCCGATCATCGAAGGACTAAGGAGACCGCATTAGTGGAACATTCGAGAATTAAGAATGTCAACGAGGCTCTCCAGCGACACCATGAAGAAGATTTAAGGTATGTATAATTCGCGCCAGGTAAACTTCAAGGGCTAACGAGCAGAAGGAAATTGCGTGTAGAGCATGACCGAACGAATCAAGATCATCAACGGCAGATAAAAGAAGTCAAAAAGGCAGCGGAAGCTGACATTGCCCGTATTCGAACAGAAAGCGATCGGATAAAACAAGATCATCAGAAACAACTAGAACAAGCTCAAAAGGCTGCGGAAGCTAAGACTGAGAATTTACGGGCTGAGAATGAGCGGGTAGTCCAAGATTATCAGAGACAGCTGGAACATGTTCAAAAGACAGCTGAGGCTAACTCTGAACGTGTGCGGCGAAGGGCGGACGCGGAAATAGCTGATCTTCAGAGTAAGATTGAACGATTAGAATCTGATCTTACAAAGGTATGCTTTTCGTCTATCCTAATGGTTAACGGTTCACTAATATGGTACAGGCGAACAACGATCACGTTCAAGATCTGCAAACTGCGCATGATGAATACGCAGCAAACAAGGCCGAACAAGAGGCACGCTTGCAGCGTGCAGAAGAGAAAATTAAGGCAATGGAGGAGCAAGTCAGCACCGCTCAAAACGACGCTGCTAAAGCAGAGGAGACATTGAAGGCAATGGAGGAACAAGCCAGTACTACTCGAGACAAGATTGCCAAAGTGGAAGCAAATCTGCAGGACAAAGAGACCGCAAGACAGGCTGCTCAAAGCGAACTTGATGATCTACTGATGGTTTTCGGCGACATGGAGGAGAAGGTGACAAAGTATAAGGAACGTTTAAAGGCCCTTGGTGAGAACGTATCCGACGATGAGGACGAGGACGATGACGATGATGATGAAGACGAAGAAGAGTCAGGTGTGGATTAAACCAAAACTTTGTCACATTTGAGATGCATCGGGTATTTCAATGGCGCGCATGCATATCAAACTACCTTCAGAAAAGGCAGACCATTTAACATTGAGAGATTTGCAAATCTGAAGATTATTGGAGGTATCGTATGATAGGAGAAACAACCGCAAAACTCGGTTATCCATTGAACCCCTTTCACTACCAATTTTAGGGCTTCAATGCTAGAACTAAAGTTTGAAAATAAATGACCAACACCAAATACTCGATGTACGTATTTTATGCTCCAGTGCAAGAAACTTTGCACCATGGTTTTCTAAACATGAAGAGTGAGTTTAATCGGATCGTCACAGGCAAAATCCATGCAGTCGCTTCACTCTAGTCTTCTCTCGATTTATTGATACCTCTGCGGTCAAAACGCAGGATTTGAACACTCTCGAACAGAGCTCTCCTCTTCGAAACATGTAGCGCGGGATGATAGTATTGACAATATAATGTTCTCGTGACCAAAATCTAAGAAATCTTACCATGCATCATGATGCCAATTACCTATCTCATTTCAAAGTTCCTAATGATTTCGTTGTAGATTATTTACTCTGACGAGTACCCTAGACTTGATGTGATCGTGGCATCTCTTCACACCAGTACTTACGATGCTGGTAATGATGTCCAATAAGTGCTCCACCGATCAAAGTTCCAAGGCCAGTGACATGACTAGGTAGAGCAAAAGCACTCAAATTATAAATGTAATCTTTTTTAATCGTAAAGTATACACCTAAGAAGAGATTCAAGGCTATGAAGATGATAATTACGAATGTAATACAAACGCAACCTCATTACGTATATACCCAATTGACGTATGTTCTCTCTTGTAAAATAGAAAGATGTGCATGTGAATCGGCTCTCGTGGTGTCTGCCTCGAGTCCTGGACAGAGAATCCTTCGAATGTTTGATTTTAGGATTGTGAAAGAGTGTTCCGAACCTAGAAAGGTAAGGCTCTTTTCAACGGCAGCCGCTGTGTCGTTGTTGAGATGATGCAACCTAGCTTCATAAATACTATCATTCTCCAATTGTTCAGCTTCGACCCGATCAATGACTTCCAACCAAGGAGGTCTCACACGAGCATTGCTCGTGGATTGTACCATGATGAGATTCAAGTACTATGTTGTTCCCATAATCGTGTCAAGTCTCTCGTGGTTTGGGTCATAGCAGAGAGATTGAGGTTTACAGCCTAAATTGGTAGACGTCGACTTCAATTAGGAAGAAACTTATTCTGCTGAGCTTTTAATGTAGCAAATAATATGGGCTCATAGAATTCGGCGTTTTTTTTTTGAGTGGGTGTCCACATAAAGGTAGAATCTACTCCAGAGGATTTTGCATAATATATAAAGTAAATATAGCAAAAGCAGAGTCGGTAATTTCAACAATGGATGTTCACCGTCAGAATCGACAACTTGGCCTGTGATTCTAGAAGAAATAAGAGCTCATCTATCTCTTAGTTGGGATTCAAATTCAAGAATGTTCTTAGCAAGCACATTCAACAAACAACATCCACTCTCATCTCATCTCACTTCATTGCAATTTGCATGTTCTGAAGAACAGAGACTCTTGAGATATAGTCATCTGGGTCTGATGATAGCAATGATTTTTTTGATGAATGATCAAGAAGCTCTAGTATTCAGCACATTCAGCCGCAGGGGCTGATGCCTCAACCTGTACCATGAAACTAGAGAAATGAATGTAATACAAACACAAGGAGGATCTAATACGGTAACTGTGCTGCCCTCCAATTCACTCAGGCTGTAACGACAATGACTTCAGCACAATCATGTAATCGAACTGGTACCAGGTAATATCGTCCACTCGAGATATGTATACTTCTTCTGAATTTTGCAAATCTATAACTTTACAAATTTTCACAAACAACCCCCAATGCAGATATCCTTCCATAGCAGCAACAACAATACAATCACCAAATATTCCAGTTTAAACTGTGGAAAGTATTCTGGCCTACTTTGTTGTTGATTCTTTCCTCAATCTTCAGAGGTTTCAAAATCAGCATCATAGTAGATAGTTAAACCCTTTCCGTGAAAGAAAAATGTGTAACAACTGGATTCATTCAATACATTGATGTTTTAGATTGTCAGCCTTCGGTTGATATAGGGAGCAAAACCCGCCAAAAATCGGTAAAAACCACTTAAGAAGCGGGGTTGTACAGGCCACAAACGCGAAATCCACGTCGAAATTACAGCACCGCGACACCCCTACCCACCCACAACGCCAGAATGTTGAGCTCCCCATCCTCATTTCACACGGCTTTGGATTTTCCATCGTCGCCGTCTCCATCCTCTATGGCAGACAGCACAGATGAACGTGGGAATTCTTTAGAGAATCCGCAATATTGCCAAGCAAACAAAATCTCTAGAGAAATTGAGGACCATGTCAAAATATACTTTGATGAGCGGATGTGTATGAATTCATATTTTGACTACATTGGTTGTTGAGCGACTACTTACATTTTAAATAGATAACCACGCCCTCATCTTACTTTCCGATGTCCTTACCTCTGGCATTTCACATTCAACTACAACCTCGAAAGCTCCCTGTATACCGATCCCCAAGTTTCTACAAATAGCCAGCACATTGCTAGTACATCCTATCACTACAACTCGAGCCCAGCATGATCATGTTGAAGTAGCCTCCAGATCCATTACTCTTCTACGAAATACCCTTACTGAAATTGGTCCTAAGAATGCCAATCTCCAAAAAGCATTTTCCTTTGAATCTGGCAGACACACCCGTCGAGTCTATGGCGATGGAGAGAGTGATTCTAACAGTGATGACGACGATAATATAAAAGGGATTGTATCTCAAAATGGACTGTGGAGATGCGCCAAGGACTTCTGGCAAATAGTGGGCTGGTCATTTAATTGCAGCGTTAGGTATCCCAAGAGGTGGAGGTATTGGAAGGTTCTTTTGGAGTATCTATTAGACGTACTGGATGCGGACTGGCACGAGCGAGAGACTATGGATGAAGCGGCATTCAACGCTCAAGTAAATCAGAGCCAAGGGAATGAGATGCTTCAAGGTTCGTTACTGGTACAATATCTAGGCGTCTCTGGTCAAAATCGTAATGGGACCGCTGTTAGACGGATCGTAAAGGCAGCCTTTGCGGACGGATCCGCGCAATCCATGAAGGCATATCCAGAAATTTTTGGGAATGAAACCAAAGACATCAAGAAAGACGAATCACAAAAACGAAAATGGGAAGACAGCAAAGATATTAAGGAAATGGGCTTCGGTGATTTCGATGAAGAGGAAGAGGGAGATCTAGCATCAGATACATCAGAGGGTCAAGAGGAAGCAGCCTCAAAGCAGGGCAAGAAAGGCGGCCTGACATATTCTTCTAATATTGGAGACCCGGACTCTATTCGCTTGCGTCAAAGAATCATAACTCTGGTAGGAAATTTCCTCCTGTCTTTCAGAATTCTCTACTAAACTTCGCAGCTATCACGCGTTTCCGCGACCATTCCGCAAAAATCCATGCCTCTACGTGATGTTTATGACCTCCTCGCAGAGTTCACCGTAGCACTTCCTATCGCATCGTTTTCACTTCTCCTCAATATCTCGCATACATCACCTTTCCCTTCTGTGGTGCTTGTCTCGCTTATACAATTATTATGCTCGCGATATCTTCCAAAATCTGCAGTTCGTCCTCAAGATGTTGAGGATTTCAAGAACGACACACTCACGCAACGAATCCTCGAGATCTGTTATCTTCCGCATTGTCCTATGACTTCATCCATAGAGGACAATGCCAAATATTCGATCTTGGTGGAAAATCTATTCCGCCTATTCTTGACGGATTGTGAAGGTCTTCACACACCTGATTTAGATGACGCGATTGAAAGGGGAATCAGCGCAAGAGAGAAGAAGTGCAAGACGGATGGAAGACGGAAAGCAGATGCAATCAAGAGGAAGGAGGAAATTGCAAAGTTCTTTCTAGATGCAAGCTCAAGAAGATTAAGAAGTTTAGTGGACTGGGTAGAAGAGTCTAGTACTTAGTTGGATCATTAAAATCGCATTGGAGTTAATCACGTTTGGACTGAAGGGGTTCACGTCAGCAAGGAGTTTATTGGCCATTGGAGTTCTCAACGATACCATTTGCTATCATGACACGGAGGAAAGGGGTTTGCCAATTTTACGGGTTACCTACTTAGCTACGGTGGCTCGTGGAAATCGTAGCAAAAATGTGGCACTTCGAGCAAAATTATATCTTAACAGATACTCGTTAAGTAACATTAAGATACAGGGTGGGCGAATTTGCCTTCTACTTCGTACATTTGGAATCATAATTACTTTAATAATATTAATACATTATCTTCGAGCTGCAGGCATATCATTCGGATTCCAGGCCTGAGGTTGCCACTCTTCACTTGGTCCTCCTCTTGCCTTCTTCCATGGATCATCCTTATATTTCTTCTCCTCTCTCGGCTGTGTCGCCGCATCATAAAGTATTTCATCACTCGCCGGCTTTTCCGTAGTAACCACACTCTCGTCCACCTTCCCAGCCTCACTCGCAATAGCATTTGCCACACCCTTCCCATCCCCCCTCGGATCCGTTCCCGTATACGCCCCTCCATCTCTGACTTGCGTGGCCGGCAACGCCTGCTGCCTCGTCGCTGGCTGATCCAGAAAACTCGCTTTCGCATTCCATCTCTCATCAGCCTGTCTAGCTAGTACCTTTAATCTTTCCTGCCTCGCTAAATCTCCCACCAATTCTTCTATACTAGGTGGATCTTCGCGTGTATGCCGTAGCCACTGATGCCACTGGGGACTTATTTTTACATCTGAATATTGAATCGAGGATGGTGTTTGGACTATTCTGCGCATACGACCTGCGGTTATAGCGTCGCGGAACTCCCAGAAGGAATTATTTTGGAGATCGAGACCTGGAGTGCGTTGGTTAGCTTCATGAAGAGCGGGAGAGGAGTGGCGAGCTGGGAGGGGAGAGTGAAGTGTACGAACCGACGAAGAAGCGTTTGCGCCAGGGAAGACGCAGGGCTTTCCATTGGTACCAGGCTTTGCGAATTGGTGATAGCGGTTTGGTAGACATTTTTTGGTGGTATTTTGTTGAGGTTGTGATAAAATGTGTATTGAACTTTCTTGGGTATCTAGAATTCCATGTACTTTGAACTTCTTCAGCCTTATGAGCAATAGAGATCCGAAGTTTAACCACTACCAATCAACAGTCACCCAAATCAAATATTGCATGGAGCTCTTGCACATTGATACAGCTACAGGTTGGATCACTTTTACTTGTAGAGATGTGAAGTCCAGTGAATACATATCTCTCTGTCCACCAGACTATACGTCGAAGTCAAATTACCTTCCTACTTGGTACCGACATAGAAACTGTCAAAATTGGCAGATGTGGGAGTGTGGCTCGGGCGATATAGATCAATAGCGGCGGCAGTTAAATTTATCTTATCAAGGCACCACCTGTCTTATCTGATCATTTCTACTTTATATAAGTCCTAGACTTAATTTCTTTCCATACTCTTCACAAGTTACAACGTTCCTATCCGCCACTCCACACATACATTTCATTTTCGTATACTCTGGTACAAAATGACGAAGCTTCAGGTCTGTTATGCTAGATGACATATATATTTTTACTCATTTTCACCACAATTAATTGGTAGCTTACGCAACGAGAGTTACACCTGAAGAGGCTTCGCTCTCGCGATTGTTCATCATCACAATACCTCGGGCATAAGATGGTTCTGCTAATTGATCTCAAGGCAGATGAAGACGACAGCGCAATCGGAGCTCGTGTCGTTCTTTCCAAGTTGCCAATTTTTCGTATTGGATTATTAAGATACGATGCATTCCACGTCTCAACGTTCAGCGCAAGATACGATGTCTATGTCGCCGAGCCCGCATTTAGCAGTTTATGTCTCACACCCGCAACTCGCTATCCACTCTGGTGATTGACGTGGAACTCATCCAAACGAATTTCAATGCATGTACATCAAATGCCGGAAATACTCAGAATTTTCAAACTCTTCGGAGGAACTATTCCAATTTTCACGGCCGAGAACCTTTCATGCACTGATAAATCCGACTCCGCTTCAATGGAGTTACACCTGCATGTCGACTTACGATCAACGCTGGTGTTTATGAATTGGGATTACCAATTCAACCCCGACAATACCGAGATCCCGATTCTTCTATCAATAGAACGGAGATAATTCTTGATGTCTTGGTTGGAAAAATCCTGTCGTTGTAGCTCGATGGAAGATTTCGGAAGAAACTATGTCGTTGAGATGCTGTCAGAAATGGGGGTCCAGACTCAAAGAAAAGAATTAATGTGGGAACACCGCGGAATTTATGTGGCAGGAAGTAGTGAGGAAGAATCCAGAACATTACTGTATCAATAGATGGAACCGACAAACGCTCTCTATCTGGAAATTAAATCTGAATCCTTCGCGTAAGAATGTCATTTCGATGTGGCTTACTCAAGCCTTACAGCCATGGCTGGCATCATGCATGCCTACCATGCGATGAGGGAAACGATCTCACTGTGTACACTGTCTCTGCATATCCGCATGGAGTAGTAATCCGGTAATCTCCTCGTCGGTTCCGCGTTTAGGTGCCGCAAGATTCTTCCGGCTGCTTGGGAACCTTTGGGTCAAGATGTACAGAGTAGGGAAATGGAGGAGTGATCTATTGAGAAAGGGAATACAGGAGTGTGAATTGAAATGAGTACTTGATTGACTGAGCTTGATATTTATTCCAGTTCAAGACAATGGAGATTGCAATTTCCCAATGGACATCTTCCAGATTTAATCGTAAGGAGATAAGTATTCTTTGGATTTATCCCATAACATGGAATCACTCATATTTGGAATCTTCGCTCTGCAAACCGGCGGCGTGTTACATTGTACACTGCGTGTGCTTTCGAAGATTCTTTTCGTGCAAGAGAATGATTTTCTTCATGCTGTGTAGCCAGCCCATTTCCACGGCGAGCCCGGCCAGATCCATAATTGGAAACAATCACGTTACCTTCACTTAGGAAATTATTTGCATTTCACAATGTTGTGCTGAGCCGTAATTATGCGTCGCTACTGCCTAAGACGGATCGGGGCATAATTGTCCCAATGTGAACATAATATAATGTTTCTGGGCCCTGCAGACGGAAGTTTTCGCTCACCCCGAAGATCAAGGGTTCTTCAGGGCTTAGTGGACAACAAACATAGTGGCTGTGCAACGTGCATTGAACCTCCCCCATAAAAAAAAGGTCGCTTGAAAGCTAGACCAGCATTGATCTCCTCTAGATTGATTAATGATCTCCAACACGCGAGTGAGAAACTGGCATTGTTGCGGGGAAAGTGAAGCTGTCATTCTCTCATTTGTCCATTTACTATCTCTCGCTATCTCCTGCCAGTGAAAAATTCTCGGGTCAGCTTTTCATGGATGTCGTGTTTGATGCCCACGTTGTTTTTTCAGTTTGCACGAGGTGCCTGCAGTAGTGTGAAAGAGTCCCTGCTTATAAAAATTTTGCTTCTGGAGTAGAATGTATCTTGTCAAAGTTTGCTGAGCCGCATTCAACAACAGATAATAGCGAAGGAGGAGTCACCCATTTTCTCTTCTGCCTAGTAATGATACTGGGTTACGAATCGTAGCTTGGCACATTAAACCATCACCGGTAGGCCATTTGCTCCGGCTTAGCAATCCCCTAATGCCTCTTCCCCGAGGATTTGCGGACTTAAGCCGACAACATGTCACATATCCCGTGTGGATTTTCGAAGCAACCCAGCCAACTCCACTCGGTTATCGTGAGTGCCGTACCACATCTTGATCGGCCGTTTCCTGATATGGCATCTTAAAAATTTAGCTTCAAGGCCATATGAGTCAGCTAGGTTGAGCAAAGCTGACGTGGTGCATGACTCCTTGGTGAGGGCTGGGTTACTCAAGATGATTCCTCTTTTGACTAGCATTGAGTAAAGACACTAGGATAGCATGCATTGACATATTCACGAATTGTGACAGATGTGTTCTGTTTGCGGGGAAATTTCGAGTGACAAGTTGCATTCTTTGGTAGTCGGAGTTGCGGCGGGAAGGAGTCACACGATGGGCCTCTCGAGTAAGGTGAACAAATGTATTGTGACTAGCTTGGAAGATTATTTACTGCAAGCCATTACATAGACCTAATTTTGGTCGGTGGATCGATAACTTTTCACGTGGGTCATAATCAAATGACCAATTATAGGTCCTTGGTAGCTATCAAGGAAGGACAGATTGTAAAATGTTTTATCGATAGAATCAAAACGAGAAAATCAGGTCTTCAATAGGCCCCTCAGCCACTATTATCATTAGCAAGTGCTTTAGAGAGAGACTACTATACAGTTAGGCAGCGGCTTCTTCGTGGAAAGAGTTCATTTATCGTAATTTTTGACACGCTGATGATTGGATATTGGCAATGGTCAAAGAAATCGACAAGCTGCCATTCATCGAAATCTGCATGAGATTTTATCGATAATCGTAAAATCCCATTCCGCATAGCAAGGGAAACTGAACAAGGGTCAACATGTCGTGGTCATGGAAGAGGTGATCCCAAAGGAGTAACGGGATCCCCACTTAGAAAATGTAACCTTGAAATTTACAAGGTAAACCCGAGGAGATGGGAGTGCCGGTATCACTAGTGTCATCAATGGGTACCGACTTTTCTTTGGGGGCACATCTCTTCGTGTAACATTAGTACGAGTACGGATCTCGTACCACGCTGGTCGGGACTCTCCTAAAATCAAGAATGGAGGAAAAGAGTGGGTACGAATGTGGCTGAACAATTGGACTTTCGTTTATCTGTCTTAGAGCATCGAAAATGGAATAAGAGGATCTGGATAGGATTAACGGTATTCCCGACGAAGATTGACAAACGTTTTGCAAATCTCGATAGTCAGCACCTTATTTGACGAATGGGATCTTTAGCTCCGTGAGTGAGTTAACGCTTACAAGAAATGGGCTCGTAAATACGAAGGAATAAACTTCCAAGATTGATACATCTATAAATCAACAGAGTAATGATACACTCCTCCTGTGGCTGTGCTTTGGAGAAATGGAGTATCCGAGAACGGTGTAGGCAGTTTCTTTGTTGTCAGTGGTTCTTTGTTTTAGAGTATTATGCATTTGTAACCCTGGGGGAAGCTTGGTGAGATTGGAACAATCTTACAAATCCATTTTGTGTTATACAAGCGTTTCCCATTACACAAAGGACGACGCAATGGCTGTGAAGTGTGGACAGCATTCCGTCGCTTCTCCGGGTTTCTCTCGTTCTCGTTCTCGTTCTCGCAAGGAAGCTTGGAAATGGCATAATGGAGAAAATTTTAGTGGGCAGTGTGGCTCGTACAATCTTCTGTGGCTTGTTACGAAAGCATCATGATGAGAAGCCTTCTTCCGTTGAAAGCCGAGCTAACCATAATGCGCTAGGACTATCCCGCTGGAAATCTAAAGGGTCTTTTAGTGTGTGGGTAGTTACTCATCTGGGTATTACATTGTAGAGCGAATTAATGAATATTAATCAAATATTATCTACTACCAAAGCGCGTAGGTACCCAGTAGGTATAATAAATATATCATACATTTTCCTTCAAATGTCGAAGAATCAATACCCAAGCAGGCATGTACATGTACCGGTAGACATAGATATAGGCTGCACATGATCATTTTCTCTTTTGGCGGTTAAGACTTTGGAATGAATATTATTGGTTTTTATGTTGTCAGTCAAGATGTCACTGTTTTGTTTTGGGAATCTTTGAGCTTTTCCTGCTAATGATCCTTGCTCATTGTGCGTCATTATGGCTGCATGGACCCTTACAAGTCGAGTGGGAAAAAAGAAAAGAAGAGAAAAAAGGCATCTTTCCACATCTTCCACATCTTCCACATCTTCCACATCCATCGTCTTGCCAAACCCTTGGTCGGACGCGGTTGTAACCCTACCCAGGACCCTACTTCCCAAAGAAAAATCTTTTGACTGTGCATGCTGTGCTGATGCTTAATTTGTCAATCCTTGCGTAAGGGTCAGGAAGGGACCGATGGAAATCGTCACTCCATATATGAATTTTCAAATATTTGGCCCGGAAAGATATCCTTCTTTCCTATATAGCTCTCCCCTTTAACCGATATCCATATTATACACGCTCGTACATATATCATACATATATCAATCATACATATCATACTCATCATACTTATCATACACACTATCATCAACTTGTAGATCTTCACTTTTCTTGATCTTGGTTACTTTTTAGTCTCTCAATAGAATTCCATCATCATATCATATCATATCATATCATATCAGTCATCCATCTCCAGTTAATCCTTAATACTTTATATCTATAAGTCTGGTGTCTGGTCTCACTAGTGTCATTCATCACCCTTTTTTCCATTCCATCTCCAACACACACCACTATACAAAAACCAGACCACTTCCCCCCATCAGAGATAATAAATATCCAATACCTGTCACTGTCAACAAGAGAAAGGGAAAAAGAAAAGAAAAAGAAAGAAGAACTGAGAATCAAAAATTCCATTTGATCTGCTGACCTGATGATCTGATTATACATCAATTAAAATCCGATTATTCTATATCATTCCAAAAGATACTACTACTACTACTACTACTACCTGCTTGCTACCTAGTATCTAACTATCGCGGAACAAAAAAAAGGTACCTACCTCCTCATTCTTCCCTTTCTCCATATTGATTAAGACTTTCCCGAGTACGAGTCACAGAAGACCGAGGTCGAAATGTTTTCCATATATAAACATTCGCCACCTTAATAAAAGTCTAAACTCCTTACTAAAACCCTTTCACAGATCCTCAAAGCCATATCACTATGTTAGCTCATAACTCAGCATCGAGACGTCAGTTACCACATCATCCACAACAACCATCTTATAATCAGCACGGTTCCATATTTAATCC